CATTACCAAGCTCATGAAGTCTAAAAAGAAAAAAATATATTTAAATATACAGCATATTTTGACAATGCACTCGGTCGACCAATTGTTCAGTTATCATAGATTTTTATTCTAATTTAATTGCAGCATTTTGACTACCGTTCATACAGACTCTTTTTAATCTTTTATTAGGCCGCGGATAAACTTTCGCATTATACCATGACAAATCAATAGGTGAACTAGTGAGGTCATCATCTTCGCCCAATCCTTCAATCATTTTCCAAGGTTCTATCGTATGACTCTCTTCACCCTCTCCTATTGTTTCTTGAACAAAAATGAAGGGGAGCACACGATTTATCCTGTTACTCCATATTGCTGGGATATTATCAATTTTATGACGCTATTTGCCATATGAACATGTGAATTGATAAGGTTAGCAAGATTAAAAAAATAAAATTTAAATAATTAATAGTCAACTTACTTGCTGGCTGGGTTGCTGCAAAACATAGTCATAATTGACGATTATTAAAATGAAAATACAAAAGAGAAAATACGAATAAGTAAATTAGTTGGAATATTTCTTGTCAAGCATGATAATAAAGCCACCTTTAATTCTGCAATTAAAAACAGCCGCGCATTTTTTCCCATCTCTATAAATCAATAGAATGAGTTAAATTTAAACTCATTGAATTATTTACAAAGTTAAAAAAATATAGGTACTATACCATCAAGCAAAAACGATACAAGATCTAATATTAGATCAAAATGTGCCGATCCGCCACCATTCAGATGAATACGCGAATCACATAATAAATTCACCAATGTCACAAACAATTTCTCTATCAGGATATATTCCGAAATTTGACGCACGATTGCCTGATTAGTTACAGTAACAACTTCAGTTACACGACTAGTCAATGTGTGTGCTCCAAGCACCAATAATTTGACACGGGAAATTATGCTGGAAAAAGTCTGCGTAAGAACCTTTATATTGAACAATGATAACATTAAATTTTATGTCATGTCTCACCTGGACACATAAACATTGTCTTGATTTTCAAATTGAAGCTGCATAGAATTGGGATCATTCGGAAAATCTTCTTGAATTTTCTTAATTTGATTTAGCAAAGCATCGCAAAAACTTAACTTTTTATCGAACCAGGCATTAAGTGGATGCAATAGTGATCTAAAAATTTCTTCGATTCCGGAAACTAACTCTGTACATTTTTTCAATATGCAAAGTCCTTTTTCAAATAACTTTGTCCAATTGTTTAAAAAAAAAAAAAATTAATAAATTAAAATGAATTCGATAAGTTTGAGAAAATGAACCGAATACGCGTACCTCAATACTAACATCTTCCCTTATCCCTTTAATCATTTTACTCAAAAAACCACAATCGATTTCTTTTTTTAATATTATTTCATCCCAGAGCCAATTAATAACCGCATTTTTTAAACTTTCAACTTTTGGCGATTCGCTAAAGTTGGGAGTTATGTCATCAGAATCAATTAACATAATTTGATCCATGCATAACCAAAATTCTATCCGGCTTTTCTGTATATTCCATAAGCTTATTTGAGAAAAAATAGTCTTCAGGTATTGAGTATAAATGGAGGCCGTTTGAGAAGACTTTGCATCTTCTATATAAAACGATCAATATAAAAGCGGTAATAAACCAAAAACTTATAAAAACTCAACGAACACTTGCCTATAATGTCTATACTATCATCCCTTAATGCAGCTTGGATAATATTGAGAATCCGCTTTTCTAC